TTCAGAAGTAGATGTAAAAATACAGCTGTCTTCTTTTAAGCCAGACATTTTCAAAAAATCAGCAAAATTTAAGCATGATATCATTCATATCACTAAATTTGTTCTCAAAGATAGTTATTTCCTTTGAAAGAACATTATTTATATTAATAGGCTGTAAGTTCGTTATTTTTAAGTGACAATTTTTAATTTCTCAGCTTTAATATAAAAATTGAGAAAAATTTATAGTTTAGATCAACAGATACAACCCATATTAATCTTTTTGGAATCCTCAATAATTTTTAAGAATATAACAGGATCTTGAGACCAAAAAGTTTGCTACAATGAAGAGCAATCAAGCCAAATATTGATAGTTTTATATATATAATATATATCTAAAACACATAACATAAATATATATAATAAACATCTGGCAGGAGTTGTGTAAAAATACTTTTAAAGAGAAGGCACAAATAGCTGTGTTAAAAAGAAAAAAGTCACTACAGATCTTATTGACATCATAAAGATGATTATTTCATGAGCTTTTATTGTATTTCATGCCAATAAATATTCAAATTCATTAAAATGTTAAAAGTCACAGCTTACCAAAATAGATAATTTATAAAATATAAGAACTGTACCACAGTCATTCAAGAAATTAAGTAAATAGACGCTTTCTCACAAAGAAAACTCCAGATCCAGATGGTTTTTCTAATGAATTGTTATCAATCACTTAAGAAATAGGAGCTGTATTATGCAAATTCTATCAAATAAGAAAATGTGGGAAAATTTTTCCAGCTCATTTTATAAAGCCAGCATAACTTCAAAGTAAAAAAACAAAGGCATTAAAAAAAGAAAATTACAGATCAATTACACTCATGAACAAAGACGCAAAAATTCTGACCAAAATTTTAACAAACTGAATACAGCAATTTTTAAAAAAGACCATGATCAAGTGGGCCATGAACAAGTAGGTTAGTTAAAAGAATGCAAGGATGATTGAGCACTAAAAGGTTAATCAATGCATTTTACCACATCAACAGAAAGCTTATGATCATGTCATTAGATGTCATAAAAAATTTAACATCCATTCAAGATACAAATTCTTACTTAGCACACCAGAAACAGAAGGAAACTTCCTTAATCTCACAAAAGGTATCTACAAAACACTACAGCAAACATCATACTTAATGGTCAAACAGTGAAAGTTTTCCCTTTGAGATCAGGAACAAGACAAGGATGTCTTCTATCATCACTTCTACTCAGGAATGTACTGGAGGTCCTAGCCAGAGAAGTAAGGCAAGAGAAAAGAAATAAAAGATGTAAGGATCAGCAGGAAAGAAACAAAACTCACTATTCACAAACGATATGACCATGAATATAGAAAACTGAAAGTATCTACAGAAATATTGGTAGAAACAAGAGTTTAACAAGATTGTGAGATTCCAATCAATTGCATTTTCATGGAAACAGCAACCAGAAAATAAAACTTAAACAAATACTCCACTTAAAATTGCCTAAAAAATATGAAGTATCTAGCAGTAAGTCCAATGAGAGACATGCAAACCTTCCATAGGGAAAATCATAAAACTTCACTGACAGATATTAAAGGACTAAATAAGCGAAAATGTATGCAATGCTCATGATTTGAAAGACTCAATTTTGTAAAGATATTAATCGTCCTCAAATTGATTTAGAGTCAAGATAGTCTCAATGAAAATCATAACAAGATTATGTATGCATGTATATAACTTGACATACTGTTGTTTAATTGTATATGGAAATGCAAAGGACCAACAGTCAAGACATTCTTGAAAAATATAAGGAATAAGAACTTTTTAACATATATCAAGTGTGACAAGACAGTGGAATTTATAAAACCAGATTAACAGAATAGAGAGATGAGATACACACATATACGATCATCCAATATTAACACAAGTGGCATGGACAAGATATATAAAAGTTGTTTTGTTTTGTTTTTCCAATAAGTAATAATGGGACAAAGAACTATCTATATAGAAACAAACGAAATTGAACCTATTTCTCACATTAGTCACAAAAGATAAATTCTACCTAGCTGGTAACCAAGTTCATAACAACAGCCATGAGAACTATTTCAAGTCCAAAACAAAACTTATTGATTAAATATTCCCAGTAAGATGTATCGTAAGACAAGCATCTTATTGTTAGTGGTAATTCTGGTATTGTTATATTGAAAATATTTTTTATATGCAGTAGTATAAAGCAAATAAGCAACTATAGTAATGTCATTAAGGAACCAAAATTTTTAGAATAAGAGATACTTATTACATCAAAACTAAGTAAAACTCCTTTCTTAAAATGGTACTATCACTAATAATATATTCTTTCATAAAAATGTGTTTACTAGTTATGTCTACTAAAAATGCCTAGAAACAATGAAAACCCAGTAATAATGAATGCTCAAGTACCCAAATCATGGTCTCTAAATACCAATTCCCATTAAATTGAAAAACAAAACCAAAACTCTTCAAAAAACTAGCTGATTCCAGTTCCGGAGCAGAAAATAAAGTCAGCCTAATAACTCTCAACTTATGAAAATAAAGAAGCTATAGAAGAATTAGTCATGTCAAAAGGAACAGGAGCCAAATAAAAAGGTTTCTACTGATCAAAAGAAACAAAATTAGCATCACAAAGAATGACTGGAAATAACTTAAACAATTAAAAATATAAAAATTTGTAAGTTAATAAAAACAAAAAACAATAAAACCACTGATCACCTCCACAAGTTGCTAGAGACCAACTTACTATTCCAAAAATTGATAAAGGATAAAGCAAAGCCTTTATCATAACTGCCCTTAGGTAACTCTCTAATTTTAAAATAACCAAATATTTAATCAAAGAACTACAACTAATAAAGGAAGAAGGCATTGTAAAATTAGAAATTTACCATTTTGTTATCCCAAGATGAAATAAAGGATCTGGTCAACAAGCATCAACGACTATTAAAACCATTAGTTGAAAAGTAGACAGGAAATTTTACAAGCGGGGACCCCCAAAAAACAGAATTATTTTTTAGAGGTCAGGCTCCTTTTAGTACAGGCTTCCCCTGGTAGGTGAGTGTGTTCTAGGAACCCATTAGCACCACTGTACCAGCCAGCATTGTTGTGAGAGGCTACGTTTAGCATCACAGAATTTTTTTCTTGGAGTGTCTTTCAACACATTTGCCCATTTCATGATGGGTGATTTATGAGCATACCTGCCCACACCGTGCGCTAAGTGTTCAGGAATTTTTGACCAAAAACTACATGACTCCCGTACCTCACCCTCCCTATTCACCCAATCTCCCTGAGTGATTTTTTTTCTTTCCCTGGATGCAAAAAGTCCTCAAAGGGAAACGTTTTGCCAGTGCAGAAAAGGTGAAACAAAAAACAGCAGAAGCAGCCGGGCTTGGTGGCTCAGCCTGTAATCCCACGCCTTTGGGAGGCTGAGGTGAGTGGACTGCCTGAGCCCACGGGTTTGAGACCTGCCTGGGCAGCGAGACCTCATCTCTACAATAAATCAAAAAATCAGCCGGGTGTGGTAGCACATGCCTGTAATTCCAGCTACTCGGAAGGCTGAGGTGGAAGGATCGCTGTAGCCCATAAGGTAGAGGCTGCCGGTGGCCAGGAGCAGTCACTGCACTCCAGTCTGGGCAACAGAGTGAGACTCCAACTCAAAACAAAAAAAAAACAAAAAAAAAACAGCAGAAGCAATAAAAGGCATCAAAACTGACGTTCAAAAACCCTCTTGAGCAGTGGAAAAAGCGTCTCAATAGGTGTATTGAATCAAAAGATGACCGAAGTTTAAACATGTAAGAATAAAAATTCACACTTTTAACAAAAAAATTCTGAGTTTTTGAGGGGTCCCCCCTCGTATAATGAACTGATCAGGCTTGTATCACTAATCAATCTTAACATAACTAAAAACGGAACAACCACACATGTTCTTACTGATGTGATACAACAGGAAATACAAAGCACTACCAATAAAATATTCTTAACAAAAAAACTACTCTACCTCTATCCTAGCCTATCAGTTTACATGAAATAAAAGAGATGAAAGAACATGTTAAAGGACCAGGAGGATGAAAAATTCTACACAACATATTACCCAGTTTCTTTAACAAATAAATGAAGATTAAAAAAGGATAAACTAGCCAGGCTAGGTGGCTCAGCCTGTAATCCCACACTTTGGGAGGCTGAGGTGAGTGGTTGCCTGAGCCCATGGGTTCAAGACCTGCCTGGGCAACTTGGTGAGACCTCATCTCTACAATGAATCAAAAAAATTAGCCAGTTGTAGTAGCGTGCGCCTGTAGTTCCAGTTACTTGGAAGGCTGAGGTGGAAGGATCGCCGGAGCCCAGCAGGTCAAGTCTGCGGTGGCCGGGAGCGGCCACTGCACTCTAGTCTGGGCGACAGAGTGAGACTCCAACTCAAAAAAAAAAAAGGATAAACTGATACAATTAAAAGAGACTTAAGACACATAAGCAAAGCAATAAGGGAACTTCATTTGGACTGCCAGGCAAACAACTATTAAAACATCTCAGGTTTTTTTTACATAGTTGATAAAAACTGATAAAAGACTGAGTATTACAAGACATTAAAAAATTATGGTTAACTTCACTGGGTAGAATAATAGTCCTATCTACTAGAGATGCATATTGAAATAAAATATTTACTGGTAAAATTATATGATGTCTGGCATTTGATGTGAAATACTCAAGATTTATCAATAAGCTACTCGTGTAATTAAAAATTAAAATAAATAGAAGGGCAGATGGGTAAACAAATACAACTTTCTCAGGGAGGGAATCAATTCTAGGTAAATTAATTCAACTGAATATGAAAGAAAATAAAGCTTTTAGATAATACACATAGAAGACTTTCAAGTTCTCAGAGGTAGGATTTACAAAACCAAATGCAAAAATCATTAAACAAAAATATGTTATACCGTATGTAACTAAAAAAGATGGTCTACTTCACAGTATTTTAAAGGTACTTACTGCTGGTAAAAGAGACTGCATGTTTTGATTAGAATCTGCTATTGTAGCAAGGTATACCAAGTTTGTATGCAACATCTGCTGATACCTATTAAAACAAAACAAATATCAATATTAAAAGATAATTTTCTTCCTATCTGCCTAAATATAAATAGCAGTTTATAAAATGATTATAAACTGTAATCATTTTAAAGTTTAATAGAAAAATTATTACCTGAACATCAACAGCACTTCAATTTTTTTCATTTTCTCAGCAAAATAATTTCAAATGTAAATAATACATTTAAAGATAATAATGAACATAGATCTTAGCATGTACTAAAGTGTTATCATTGTTTTACGTGTATCTGTATCTCATTTAATCCTCAAGCCAACAATATGAGGTAAGAGCTCCTTTATCCATTTCATAGATATGAAAACTAAGGTTTAGAGAGGTTGATAACTTGCACAAGATTATATAGCTAGTAAGTGAAATGACTGACATATGTAAAAACTCCATACTAGTATATTTAGTTTTTGTAAGAAGAACTAAAATAAAGGAATTCAATGAAATATGTTTATCTTCTTCCTTCTGCCATTTTCGTTTTGCCAAAAATCTCAATCAATCAACATATTCTAATAAATTGTAGGAAAGGAGGTGAGAACCATACATTTTTTCCCCTTCTCATTCCTGCAGCAATGACCAACCATTTATGCCTGCTGTGCTTGTACTACCCATCTACCAGGACTCAGAATATAGAGAAGACAATGAACAGGCAATCTCCAATTACAGAGGAAAAGAAAGATATGCTAAAACAGAGATATGGTAAGAAACCAGCACCAATAAAAGTTAACTTTAAAAAAATAAAGCAAATTCTCATTATTGGTATTATGTGGTTAAACATGCTTTAGCAATCTTATGCATTAGTTCTGCTAAGTCTCTCTTCACAATTTTAAAAACTAACTCGGACAAAACCATATTAAAATTAGTAGTGATCCAGTTAACAGTGTTTGGTCTCACAGCATGCCTACAGCAAGCACCATAAATACAAATTTAAAACCCACATCAGGCTGGTTTGGTGGCTCAGCCTGTAATCCCGCGCTTTGGGAGGCCGAGGTGAGTGGATTGCCTGAGCCTGCGGGTTCAAGACCCGCCTGGGCAACTTGGCGAGACCTCATCTCCACAATAAAAATAAAAAAATTAGCCAGGCGTGGTAGCACGCGCCTGTAGTTCCAGCTACTTGGAAGGCTGAGGCAGAAGGATCGCCGGAGCCCAGCACGTCAAGGCTTGGTGGCCGGGAGCAGCCACTGCACTCCATTCTGGGCAACAGAGTGAGACTCCAACTCAAAAAAAAAAAAAAACAAAAAACCCCACATCAAGTTGTTAAGCTATCTTAAAGTACTACTACAAATTAAAATAATAATAAGTAAAAAGAACTTCATTCAGCTGGATAAAGTACCCTATTTCAGACACTAAATGAAGTAATTTCCTAAAACAAACACCATAATAGGAATGCTAGTATATTCTTTACTGCTTATTTTTTTATTATAAACAACTGGTTTCATTACTTTTTTCTTATTAGGAAAAACAATGACTTTTCACTGACTTTAAAATAACATTTCCTCACTAACAAGGCAACTTTTTTTTTTTTTTTGAGTTGGAGTCTCACTCTGTCACCCAGGTGGAGTGCAGTGGCAAGTTCACGGCCAACCCAGCGTCAACCTGCTGGGCTCAGGCGATCCTTCTGCCTCCGCCTTCCAAGTAGCCAGAGCTACAGGTGCATGCTACCACACCTGGCTAATTTTTTCATTTTTTATTGTAGAGACGAGGTCTCACCAAGTTGCCCAGGCTAGTCTCGAGCCCCTGGACTCAGGCAATCCTCTCGCCTCAGCCTTCCAAAGTGCTGGGATTACAGGCTTGAGCCACCACACCCAACCAAGGCAATCCTTTTAATGCTCTTCTTCATATATACACAGTGTTGCCCAATCAGATATTATACATTTTTTATAGTGACCCTTATATAAACAAGGACAAAATAATAATTACTATACTCTATTGAATTATTCACAATGGTTAATCATATTGTTGAAATTCTTCAAACAGCACTAACAGGGATCACTAGCTGAAACTATTTCATATTCTGTAGAGATCTTGAATTGAACTTAAGATACAGGATTCCATATCTTGCAATTTCTAAAAAAACTAGTTAGCCACCTTTAATTAGAACACATAATCCATTTCAAAGGCTACTCCTCCAAGCTTCCCTTTTCTTCTCTAAGTATTGGTGTGGTTGCATTATACTCAGAAATCAGATTTGTTGAGAAGCACTGACTACCCCATAAAAAATAAAAATACTAAACCATACTAAGAGACATAATTTAATCATGATCAATTAAGAAAAAGTTTTAGTAACATGCTGATTAGTGGCTGATTATCTACCACTCTTAATTTCTCATATGTAAAATAATGGAGTTAAATGTAGAACTCTAAAATCCCTTGCAGTTTTAAGTATATAAATACAGCATCTTTTATGAAGTAGTTTAATTTTAAGACATTTGCCCAAGCCAGGCGTGGTAGCATATGCCTGTAGTTCCATCTACTTGGAAGGTTGAGGTGGAAGAATTGCAGGTTGATGCTGGGGTAGCCGTGAGTGTGCCGCTGCACTCCAGCCTGGGCAACAGAGTGAGACTCCAACTCAAAAAAAATAAAAAAGACATTTGCCCAAACTTTTCCCAACCATCAAATCTTTACAACTTTTAACTCTGAAATAATTTTACATTTACAGAAACGTTTCAAGAATATTAACAAAGTCCCATATATCTTTCTTCCAGATTCCTTAATGGTTAGCATTTTACGACATTTGTCCTATCACTGTCTCTAAATACACACACCAACACACACATGTACTCACTTCTTTTTCACCCGAGTCAGTAGCAAACATAGTACCCCACCCCTAAAACACACCAGTTGCACACCTAATACTTCAGTGTCAATGTCCAAAAAACAAGGTTATCCCCTTATATAACAGTGTAACCATCATAATGAGGTAATTAACACTGATACAATAGTAATGCCATTTAATCCACAGAATACAAATTTCTCCAATAGTCTTAATACCTCCAAATCATATTCCCTAATATAAAAGGGTAGGTAAAAATGAAAAATTTTAATTGGCTCCCTTTTTTCTGAGTTAGAGTCTCATTCTTGTCATCCAAGCTGGAGTACAGTGGCAAATCATGACTCACCGCAGCCTCAACCTCTTGGTTCAGGTGATCTTCCCAAAGTGCTGGGATTACAGGCATGAGCTAACACACCCAGCCTAAAAATCTGACTTTTTTCAGATCAATTTTCTAATTATCTTAATAAATTTAATAGTGGTTATTTTACCTTATTCAAAGTAATTAATGTAGTGACTCAATGTAATCTTGGGAGGTGAATTATCTCTCATTTAACAGGCTAATAATCATGGGTATTTGGGAATATCTATCAGTATTTATTATAAAAGACAGTACTACTATCAAACATAAAATAGTGAGTAAATTTTGTAGCTGCTGCTAGCTTATAAAACAAGGCATCAGCCGGGCTCCGTGGCTCAGCCTGTAATCCCGCGCCTTTGGGAGGCTGAGGTGAGTAGATTGCCTGAGCC